GGAGGGGAGGGGCAGGGCCTCAGCCAGGGAGCCGCCTCCCTCCCAGGTCTTGCAGCTCAAAGAGGATCTGATCCTAGGGACCTCAGACGACTCCACCTCCCAGCTACATTCCCCACCCCTTCTTAGTTTTTGATACCAGGGTCTCTAAATTGCCCAAACCAACCTTAAACTTTCGAATTTACTGCCTCAGCCTCCCAAGTAGCTGGGATTACAGGTGTGTGCCATCACACCCAGTTAGGTCTAGAAAAATCTTATAAAAATTTTAAAAGTATTAATCGTGGAAGTCAATTTCTGTCAATGAATTTGTAGAGAAATAACACGTAAACTGTTAGGAGAAAGGAGGAACAAAGACATGAGCCTAACAGAACAAGTTTATTTAGCACAAACGTGAGAGGGAACACTGGTGTGAGGACCAAGTGTTGGCTCTGTACAGGCTACAGGGCCTTTTACAGAGGGCTGTGAATACAGGGGGCTGTGAACAGCACTCGTGGCCGCCCGCTAGAGATGAGGCTTGCTTGTCTGGCAGGAGCAGGGCTGAAGAAGTGACAGTGGGAAGCCATGTTAATAGGTCTTATTAACCCCATGACTCTGCATCTTTAGCAGATGGGAAAACATGAGGGAGCGGAAGAGGCTCAAAGTGGCCTCTGGTCAGCCTAAGATGCCAGCATTTGGAGTCCATTCCACCCTCCGTGGTGAAATAAGAACGGATGGTGCATCTCTTCTTTAACTGCTGCCTCCTGATTGGGGCAGTGGTTGGGGTTTTATCCGGATTGAAGAAGATCATTAGCAACTACCTATGAAATGGCCACAATCCTGTTGGTGAAAAATCTTTGAAACATATTGATGGAGCATGGTAACAACAAACAAGCAAGTAAAAGGAGGAAAAGAGGCAAAGAAAGAAAGAATCCAAGGTAGGATAGTGGACTCCATGAATCCCATGAACTCTGGGGGGAGGGGCATAGGGGAGTCCAGAGACATTTGTCTGAATTTCAGTGTCCATCTCCCACAGAGCTGCGGTCACTTTGTCATGATTATCTGGGACAGAAATACAGTGTGTTGTGTGAAGCAGGGTGTATGTACCCCCTTGGGAAGCTGTAAGGAGATCTAAAGCCATGTGATTTTTGTAAAACTACCTTTTTCATTTGGGATGCTTCAGCCATTAAAAATGTTAGAGCCCAGTGAATGGCATTGAATTCAGGGGCTAAGGCCTCTTACATCCAAGTCTATGTTCATAGCAGCTAACCCTGGAAGGGTCACAGCCAGGGGATAAAACCACCATGTTGGCCATGTAGTCCTGCCATTGGTGGCAGACTGCATCCCGGTTTGGGTGTTACTTTGCAAGGGAAGAGAGAATATAACCAGGAATATAAGGATGATCTCATGTCACCTTTTCTGCTTGGTGGGTAGATGTAACCAGCCGTACCAGCTGCAGACCCATCCATGCCCAGATGGAGCCATATCTGTGGGGACGGTTTCATGATATTTTCCCCCATTCCACCACACGTGGGGGATAGTAGCATATGTAACACTGAGACCCAAGTGTTCAGGTGGCTATCCCACTGTGCATTTATGTTGTTCAGCACACCATATAATAGATCCTTTATGGTAACATGTTCAGATATGACCTATCCCCAGCTTAGGGGGACAGCATATCCTATGACTGGTTACCCTGCTTTACCTTGTCAGAGTAAATTTCTATAATCCATTCAGACCTATGCAGAATTTGTCGAGGCAAACCTGCCCACTTCTCAGCTGTTGCTGGAGCCAGTCCCCAGGGGAAGCCTCCCTCTGCGCTTGTGGGAATTTCTGCGCACAACCAGCAGGGGGAGATATTGTGAACCTGTTGCATAAGGGGTAAGCCCACCAGGTAATATCATTTGCCATAGTTACCCCAATCAGACAACTCCAAAGAATCAGCCAGATCCTGGTCCATACCTGTGTTACTGAGTGGAGGAAAGCAGAGTGAGGGCATGAAAGGAAGAAAAAAAACCCTCAATTGGGGTAGGAGTAAAGTCACAGAAGAATCCTTGAAGTCAGAGATCACAATGTCTAGATGTTCGCTCTGGGAGGAGTAAAGGGGGTACTTCCTGTGCCAGAATATGGAGAAATATCTTAAAAGAGGGTAGAGAGGAAGGCCTCAGTCGCTCGCCCTTTTC